CGAGATCGAAAATTTCGAACCAGTTGATATGAATCATATTCCATTATAAAATATATTCCTCGTCGATTTCCCTCATTTTATAAATTAAAATTACGCTAACTTCAACACATACGTATAGCCCCATCTATATACAATGTCCACAATATACTGTTTATGACCGTTTTCTCTTAAACGATAGATAAATAGCTTCTACTGACGATGTTTAAGATTAATCTTTCACGTCTTTCAATGTCGATTGGAAGACCTATACACACACACACACTTCAAGTTACCAATTCTTGAAGACAAATATAGAACATGTTTAAGCAAACGACTAGTCAACATTCAACAACATGAACAGGAACTGATTGGAAAATATATACAACATAAAAATATAACTAATAAAACGCATCAACACTACAATGAAAAAGCATCTATACAAGCACTGCCAAGAGGTTGACCCAGCACACGAATTATGACTTTTCAACTTAATTCAACAACTTTTATGGATAAACTCATGCATTATTCACATAATATCCATATAACCTAGCCTTTTTTTTTCAAGGAAAGAAGAAGAAAAAAAGACAGTTTAATTAAATAGCATAACTACCTAATTTTAACTAATTAATCGTGAAATTTTTTTTAATACTTAACTCCTTTTTTTATATATGTGCTGATGATAGTATTCGTAGTTTCTTTTTGAGGTAGTCAGGACCAATATGGTCAACCCACTTAAATAAAGCTTTTCATACATAAATACAGAATGTTCATCTGGTACATATCGTTCTCATGTATTGAAAATTTTTTCTTTAAATAAATATGAATGAAAACATACTTCTATGTTTTATAGAAACAGGCACTCTGTTAGTATCAAGTCGTCTTTTATTCACGTTCTATAGATGCGTTTCGAAACTTGAAGTATGTAGTTTGGCAGTTCTTTTTGATGTGAAGATGTTTTAATTTCAATTTTGATCCAAAAGAAGTACTTTACTGGGAGACTTAAGCATTATTAAATTCGACTTGACAGTTGATAAAATAATGAGATCTCATCAAGCAAGTTCAATTTAATAGACATTATGCCAGTGAGTTCTACTTCATAGAATCAATATCTGTTGGAAAAGTAAAAACATAAAATTGAAAAGCAGATTTTTTCACATGACTTTAGAAAATGCGGTGGTTTCTTGCATTGTTCTTCCTTAGAATGGTAACATTTATGGTTATCGCCAACACGCAGACAAAACTTAAACGTCCTGAACCACAACAACAAAGCTTATCAAAAGTCGTTAATACATTGCAGACGAAGTTAGGGACACATTTGACAATGATTCAATCAGCATTAACCGCAACAGAATTCCGTCTTAATCAAACAATGATTGAAAATATTAACAAATATGAAATGCTGACAAAGGCAATTGAATCCCGTCTTAATCAAACAATGATTGAAATAGAAAATCGTCTAATATCTAAGATAGAAGAAAGTAGAAATGATACAATAAGCCGAGTGGCCAATAGGTTCTTTCGAAAAAAAATAGGTATGTCTTTCGCCATCTAGTGTTGGATTTTAAAGGACGGCGGTTACTATCTATTTTATGAAACAAAAACAACTAATCTAAGTTCTGTTAACTTGATATTACAGGTTGTATCTGTCAAGAGTCGTGGAAAAAACCATGTGAAAAAGGTAATCAATACAGTTTCTTTGGAGCTCTTTGGAGCTGAAAGCTGTAAACTATAGATATTTTAGTTTCCAATAATCCAATCAATAAGTGACAGGACGAGAAGCAGAGTAACCGTTCATAAAGATTTCGACGTGAGCGATCGTCGATGTTGATGCTCTTATAAATGCTTCTATAAATATTCACGTCTATATTGAAATGAGAGCCCCCCTGCTTGTCGTCAAAAACTTCATTATGAGTCTTATCATATTTTTATTTTATTCTCCCCTCATAGTCGGTGTGAGATGTCTAAAATTTCAGAATTCGTCGCGTTCAGTCTTTTTCAAAAATCTGGAAAAGTTAGAGCAGCCATCCTATTCCCGAATGTTGAACATTGCGGAATCAGTTCCTCTCCCGGAATCAGTTCCATCCAATTCCGGAAAATCGATCGTCGTATAACATAATAGATCCATTCGTCACTGACCGTGTTTCACCGATTTCCGGAATTCCGGATTCGTGTTGAAAGCGATAAATGGAATTCCAGAATCATGTTGAAGGTGATAAACGGAATTCCAGGAATAGGATGGAATTGATTCCGTAGGCGGAACTGGTTCCCAAATGTTCAACATTGCGGAATAGAATGTGTTCTCAAGTTTTCAGAATTTCAAAATACTAGAAAAATTATGCCATCTAAAGCACTTCGTCAATTCTTCTTTGCATATACATTCCCTCATTTTGCGTGGTTATTTCCCTTCTATTCTATGCTACCTGAAACACAGAAACAAATCTTGAAACAAAAATTCCGTACGGGTCTCAGATTGGTGTATCGCTGTCCGTTTGTGTCAGCACATAATCTTTTTACTTTAACTTCAGAATTCCCCTTAGAGCACTATGGTAAGAAGTATATTCAAAGGAGATTGAGAACAATTCTCATCACGGATCTGGGATTCTCTCTTTTCTATAACGATATATTTGTTTGGAATGAATTTTACAAAAGAAAAAACGATCATCTTGGACAATTTTTTCGTATGCGACGAGTGCGATTACTAATTGACCGGCACGAGTCGTTCCTTTTGCAATGGTTGAAATTCGTTGAAACAAATTAGTACAAACACGGCGTTCTTTTGCTGTTCTTTTTCTTTCTTTCCTTCTTTCTTTTTTGTTTGTTTGTTTCTTCTGTATGCACTGTCTTTTTGGTGAAGAGTGGTACAATATTCACACGTTTCTTCTTCGCTTCCTCTCTTTTTTTAGTTATTATATATTTTTCTTCTTCCAAATACATGTTCTCTTCCTTTTTCTTTTAATTTTCCTTCTCAAACTCTTTCCCAGCATGATCATCTTATCAGGAAACATCAATATTAAAGAAGCGACGATTTAAAACGTTTTGCTTATAATATCATTTGATTCAAACATCATAAAACTCTTTTTCCTATTTCTATGCAAGCACTCCAGAGTTGGGGGTGGTTATTTAACTTAACTTAAAATTAAGTTAAGTTTTTTTGGCTTAACACTTAATATTAAGAATTAAGTCTTCAACTTAACACTTAAAACTTAATTTTCTACGTTAAGTGAAAATTTAAAACTTAATCTTAAGTTTAAAACTCGAGCAAAACACTTATTTAAGTCACTTAATTAAACTTTTTTGCTTAACACTTAAAATTAAGTTTTAAGTAAAAACTTAATACTTAATATTAAGTGTTAAGTTAAAAAACTTAATTAAGTGACTTAATTAGATGAAATTAAGTTTAAGTTAACACCCCTACTCCAGAGTGTTACGTATAGCAGCAAAATAAAAAAAATCAACAGTGATAATTTTTTTCCAAATATATATGACAAGTTGAAAAGCAAAGAACATATGATAATAAAAGGAAAAAAAATACAAAGGGAGGGGAATACAATTGATCCCCATAGTATATCTTGAGTAACGTCTAAACGTATGATTTTTCATAATTTAAAGTGTACCTCAATAATATTCCTCCTGTGTATTTCTAACTTTTGGACTCTATATTTCGTTTTTCTTAAACAATGATTATACAGTAAGGACGTATAGACTTTCCCGCATCGTATGGCTCATAAGATGAAGTAAAGACTGTACTTTTTCGTATATTCATTGCCTAAAAAAGCGATCTGTGTAGTCGAAAGCTAGAAATATATAGAGGGACAAATATTGTTGTGGTATACCGTAATTTACCATTACAAATGCTTCGTATTTTACTCAATAAATAGTTATTCCTTCTTTTTCATTAAAAACAAAACAACTGATTGATTTGATTAAGTATCAGCAAAAATTGATTATAGACTATCTTCAAGCAAAATCATTTTGACTATTCTATTATTACTATTTTCTAGACTCACCAAAAATACATTTAACGATATCCTTAAGTCTTAGATTGTATCTATATCTTCATTCTCATCATACCCTTAACTCCTAAAATTTTGTACATGAATACTTACCTCAATATTTTTAAACTTTTGCTCATATATGTGTGTACCGTTGTACTTATCGTCCGATCTCCATTTCATTGTTAAGCAGAAACATTCAATTTTGTAAAATTTAACAAAAAAAGAATATTTTCTCTATCTTTGTCATCACTCTGCATGGCCTCGTTGCGATACATAAAATGTATTCATTAATTCATACCAACATAGAAAACGATAGTTTAACAAAAAAACTACACATTGTCATAAACTGAGGATCAAGTAGTACGTATTTTAGTTTGTGTAATATTTAGTTACAGTTAGTATGTCATTCAAATTACGTTGCAACGAAATTATGATGAATTCAATGAACTTTCGCGGTTTTGATCTAGCTTGGTATGTCCAAATATCGTGATTAGAGGATAACCGACGGATACACATGAACTTTAGGGAAGTTAGCACAAGATTCGAGTTTTTCCAGCCTGGATTCACTGCTTTAGCTGTGTTGGATCTGAAAACAGTTGTATTGAATTCAGAATGAAATTCAGCATCGAATAATGCTAAATTTTTATACGGTCATCGACCAAAATTCTGCGACTCGGGTGTGGGTGGGATTTAGACGGGGGAGGGATGACTTGGATAAGATCAGAAATCTTTTGGTCGATGACCGCATAAAAATTTAGCATCATTCGATGCAGAAATTCATTCTGAATTCAACACAGCTAAAGCAGCGAATCTCGGCTAAAAGTACTTTCACAAGATTTTCAAAGAAAAGTAGTATTTTTGGCTAAAGTACCAGATTTTGATCGGTAACCCCCTCCAAAAATTACATCACTGGATTCAGCGCGAAATTCTGCATCCAACACAATGAAAATAGAAGTCAACACAATTATATAGGTGAATCCGGGCTGGAAAAACTCGAATCTTGTGCTAACTTCCCTAACGTGAAACAATTACATCATGAGAATATCCCCTCTTCTTTGATGAGATTTCATTGAAATTTTTCTTTCTCTTTATTGGTTTCTAGTTATTCCTGAGATTCCAGCCAAGGCAGAATGGGCACAGTATGGTGTCACTGTTGCCGGTGGTACCGAGAGGGGTAATGCCACCAATCAACTCGGAACCCCTCGTGGTCTCTTTGTTGATGACGATCAAACGATAGTCATTGCTGACTCCTCGAATAATCGTATCGTCCAATGGAAGGTAGATGATACGAATGGACAAATCGTAGCTGGTGGCAATGGCCATGGAACTCGATTGGATCAAATGAAATATCCAGTTGATGTGCTAATCGACAAAGAGACGGATAGTCTCATTATTTGCGATCAAGATAATCGACGAGTTGTACGATGGTCCCGTCGTAATGATACCAAACAAGGAGAAATCCTCATCGGCAACATCGATTGTTATGGATTGGCTATCGATGACCAGAAGCATCTATTTGTCTCAGACTATGACAAAGATGAAGTTAAACGATATCAAATAGGAGATAAGAATGGAACTCTTGTAGCTGGTGGAAATGGAGAAGGTAATGGTCTCAATCAACTTAAAGAGCCGACCTACATCTTTGTCGATCAACAACAAACTCTCTACGTGTCTGATCGCGGTAATCATCGTGTGATGAAATGGAATAAAGGTGCCACAGAAGGAATAGTCATTGCTGGAGGCCAAGGCTCAGGGAGTGCTCTGACTCAATTGAATTGGCCCCAAGGACTCTTCGTCGACACATTAGGTACCGTCTATGTCACAAACTATATGAATGATCGGGTGGTGCGTTGGCCTAAAGGAGCCGAGCAAGGCACTGTTATTCTGGGTGGCAATGGTAATGGAAAAAGAGCAAATCAGTTTGATGGTCCCATTGGTTTGGCATTCGATCGTCATGGCAACCTGTATATTTCTGATTCTTCTAATAATCGTGTTCAACGTTTTTCTATTCAATAAAATTGCATTGCAATGAATTGCTACCTCACTTGTTCCTCTCTTTCTTTTCGAGCGCCGTGATCAGCGCAAAACTCCTGGACGCACGGCAATGAATCTATATTCTCCCGTGAGAATATTTTGATGAATCCATCGAGGCCGGCTGTGTACAACAGATGCCAGAGTAAGCCTGGCTCATGGTTGTTTAAGGTCAATCGGAGAGACCTGTAAAAAGGATTTTATCTAAAACAAAAAG